GCTTACTTGGTTGGTCTGTTCGAGGACACCAACTTGTGCGCCATTCACGCCAAGAGAGTCACCATCATGCCCAAGGACATTCAACTTGCCCGCCGAATCCGTGGCGAGAGAGCTTAAGCTAATTCTCAATCAAACAAAACAACGGCTCTTTTAGGAGCCACCACATGCTTATAGAGTCAATGACTTCAACATGCTAACGATTTATGTCTTCCTAATGTGGTGCGCGCTGCACTTTTTCAGTTTAACCAACGAGAACAAAACTAGCATGGTCTTACAATCACTAAAAAATCCTGCTTTTCATTTCTGAATTATATTATTAAGGTCCTTGCTTTCTTACAAAAAGCCTGTGATGATTATGTATGCCGTGACAGTATTTTAAATGCACACTTATACCTCTTCCATGTGTCACCAATGAGGCGGCGATAGTTTTGTTTTATTTCCCAAAGGACGTTTAGTTGAAGACGAAGATGTCTTTCTCATTAATGTCCGAATATCGAAATAACTGAAAATGGACTCTAATAAGCAATATTCAAGAGTGAAAAGGATTTCCTTTCTTTTTCAATTAACGTTTTTTACTCTTACAAGTCAAATTGATGGTTCGCTCAAATAGCAGGGAGTTTTCTCTGTTTCTTTGCAAATTCCAGCACATTCAACTTCTCCTCGTAAACATTTCTGTTATATGACTGTCTTGTTTTCACAGGTTTCAACTTCTTGTGTTTATAAGGTGGGATGATGTTGGTATAGGAGAAACTATACGACCTAGAAATCATGTGCTGGTGTATAATGTTCCTGAGATCACGTGTCAACTCGTACTTCTTTGCAAGTTTTTGTGCTTTTACCTCTTTCTCTTCTAAGCTCAGACCGCTGGTCAGAGACATCGAGGAATTCAAACGCGCCATTTCAAGTGAGCCGACAGAAACTCTAGACAGTGTTTCAGAATCATTGTTTGTTTTTTCTGTGCTATCTTGAACGCGCTCGTCAACATCAGTAGTGCAGGTAGACTGCTGATCTGAGACAGGCATCCATGTGGTGTCGGTTTCATCGTCAAGATGAGTCATGTCGTATGTGTTACTAGGGCAACGATAAGCGGTAGTGGCTAATGATGAAATAACTCTCTCTTTTCTGATCTCATCACGAATGTCGCCTTCATCTAGTTTTAAATCATGTAATTTACTTGTCATTTTGATAAGACGCTCATGTTGTCTACCGGCTTGTATTGTCTTTGTCTTGATTTTAGTCTTGTAACTTTTCTTTATCTTTTCCCTCTTTAGTTTTTGTTTTACTGAAAGTTTTTCGTCCAACTGTTTGACTTTTGAATGTATTTCACTMGTCGATCTGGCTAATCGTTTTCTGTTCTCRTATGGAGTATACTCCGCGCTACCTTTTCTCGCACTATCTTCTTTAATTCCTTTCTCAACTTTCTTTAATTCTTTCATCAGTTTCTTTTTCTCACTTTTGAGTTTTTGCAGCTGTGTTTTCTTCTTYTTTGCAGTTTTCTTTCTCGGTTTTAGAGGCAAGACTTCCATTTCACTTGGGTTTTCTTTAAGAAGGGAAGACAAGTCAATGGTTTTTCGTTCCTCTGCTTCATCCTTCTKTGTAGTCAGTTTTGTCACGTTGTCMTGATTACTGCTGGTAAAGCGGACTTGTTTTGCCGACAAAGACATACTTTTGACTTATAATCAAGCAAACACTACAGTCTGCGCAAATAAAATCATATCAGTGTATTAAGCTGTATAACCGCTCTCTCTGAGCGATAGGTTCATGTACCCTATTGATATACAGGTTGCCATAGCAGTTGATGTATACTTCATAAATTTATAACTAAGTTTTCTTGAGGCTAAGAGGACCAATCAATTCGAACACTGCAATCTTTCAAAAGTCAATGTAAAATAWAATACATTTGACACATTCAATATTTACACMTTGTTAATAAAAGGATKTGTTGTTTTTCTCTCGTTGCAAAATTGACGATATAACGTTAAAAAATGTTTATGATATTTTCTTGGACGTGATTATTTTGACATGCCAGACTTTGTGCAGGTGAGTAGTGATCCATTATCATAATCAGTGAAAACTATAACCGCTCAAGTTAATGCACATTCGTACCACCTGCCATACATTGTCGATATTCATGAAATATATTGTGAAATCGCAAGTATTTTAGAACCTAAACGATTCAGATGAACGCACATGAGATAGGAATATCAGTACTGATTGCAGAATTAACACCCAGAAAACATGGAGCATTAGTATTTATGTCAAGTAATATGTTTGGCTTGAGAGTTGTTTTTAAAATACGTGACTCGTTAAAAATATTATTTCGCCTTTGTAATTGTACCATAAGTGCATTACTGACCTCCAGCGGATTTCCTTAAGCAAAATAGGTATGATATAGAACTAGAGGTTTTAATATTTGTTTGGCATCCGGTTGTAAACACAGCAGTGCATTTGATGAAAATGAAGTCGTGAAGTCGCAGTATAATAGATTAATATGATTCCATCATCATYACTATCATCATCATTTTGCATTCTGATCATTTACACATTCGTTTTATTTCTCGATTTTGTTACCTATGGATTTCAGTGAAGTGAATTTAGAATAGTGTTTGACAGATGGCTAATTTCTCTAGTAGGGGGAGCGCTCGGCCCTTCAGGCTATCTTTGATTTGGGATTCCTGTGTGTTTTGATCAATTTGACCGATACTCGTGAACAAAGATTCATCTTCATTCACTGCCATAAATATAATGACATTCTAGAGAATATGGAACTATAAAAAATGTAACAAAAGTAGATGTTTTAAGATGAACTGACCTAGTGACCTTTGAAACGGCAGTCATTTAACTTAGCTTTATAAATCTCTTACTTCTCTTACTTTATACAACTTACTTGTATCGAATTTTAAAGTGAGGAGGTATTTCCAAGACAATGTAGCTCATCACTGAGTTATCCAACATCAAAATAGTATTAACTACAGGCAGACGAAATAACATTTAGCTAAATTAGATCGAGAAAATAACAGCTTTTGAAGCCATGTGAGTGCTGTCACAACTAGCAAGCGTACAACAAACACCTCCAAATATCGTACTTACCAAAAGAATATCAACTYCTTTCCTCATCCAGGCATAAATAACACACTTAAGACTAGGAATTAGACCTAATTGACTTTTAACTATTACAGTTCTTATGTAAATAAATGCTTGACGAAGTTTTCTCTCGTGTTCTGAGATAAATTCGATTCAAAGTATCAAATGAATTTCCCGCCCTTTACTCGCACGCGCGCGTCTACCTAATAAGGAAATATCACCTTATTTGGAGATTAGAGAATGTTTTTATATTACAAAATTACTAATTACTAAAAAAAAGTATGGAAAAAAACTTTTGTAAACCACGAACATCAGAAAACAGACAAAACAAACTGGTGAGTTATATACCATGTCACTTTAAAGTAATTTCCGTTTTACAATCTCTGAATAAAAGATAAGTAATACGCCTAATTCAATTTATGTTATCGTTAGCTAGTGTTTTTCTAAGTTTAGCGTAGCAGGATTAGCGCTAAATAGGATAAAAATAATCCCTCTAATCCCTTTCTCATTAATTTTTAATGTTTGGGTTACCTGTGGATTACGTCACATATATACTTGTAAACAAGCCCGCTGGTCATTTAGTAGCCCGCAATGTTACCAAGAAGAACATTTTGAGTCTGATAAGAAATCGTCTGAAAAATCATTTAAAAATGGCTTCTGGAGGTTACAAATCGGACGACCAGGACATTMAAGATGAGCAAGAAGAAACTGCTAGGACAGATGTGACAGAAAGTGATACTGAAGGAGTTTTTCGTACTTTTTTATATCATCGATTTCAAGAGGAAACGGAGAGAGGAGACGACGACSTACGATTTGACAGAGCACGCTCAGACGCTTTGGAAGAGCTTCGTTCCTGCAATGACGAACGACGACAGCATATTACTCGAATTGGACAACGTCTAGGTGAAGTTGGGGACGAAATAGATGCTAAATATAGAGACCAATTTCACGAAATGATCGAGCAACTTTCTCTTACATCAGACACTGCTTACGAAACTTTCGCCGCAGTTACGCGACGGTTGTTTAGATCTGGGATAAATTGGGGAAGAATTATCGCTCTTTTGTGTTTTGGATATGAAATAGCGATGACAGTTATTCGCCGAGGATTCAGCGGCAGCTTTTTACGAAGGATTATTCGTTTTGTTGTTGACTTTGTTTTTCGTGAAAGGATTGCCGTATGGATTGCTGAACACGGTGGCTGGGTAAGTGAAAACTACATGCCTTTTCATGTATCAGTTTAGAAAMATTGTTTGGTCGCTACGTACAGCAGGGATTCACTGATTTCCGTTTGATATTTTGAATCAACCATGAGATTTCTAATGAATTCACACAGTACGAAAGTATATGTGGTTAGTGTSTGCCATCTTTGAATTTTGTATGCTTTATTTGCAGTTTGTAATTTCTAAGAATTATTCCTTGAAGTGTTTAATAAAATTTGAGTTTTCTTAACTAAAACTAAAGCGATTAAAATAAAAATTTCTGTGAATATAATTGCTTAAAATGAAATTAACAGAATATTGAAAAAATGAGACAAAAATGTTTAGTGGAAGATTGAAAAATCTAGGAAATGAAAGATGATAGTGAATGTATTGTAGACTAAAAATTATGCTTGCAAACTGTATGATTCATTTTCTACTAATGGGTGAGAAAACAGGAAGGAAGCATCAGCTTGTATATACCATAGTTTACTTAATTATAATCATGCTTAATTTTCTGAAAAGAAAACTCTTGACTTGTATGGCCTCATAAAATGCTTAAGACACTCTTTATTATTCATACCTTTATTATAAAGAGTGTTTTTTTTTTGGCAAAAATTCCAATAAAAAAAGAGTGCATAGAGTTTTGATCAAAATTCTGACAATTTATGGATTTTCGATATTATTCAAACCAACTATGTTTTTCTAAAAAAGTGAAAAAAATGTAAATATCTAAAAAAGAGATGACTAAATGTTCATTGTATAAGTGCTTCAAATCCAACCAATCTGTTTTTCATTTCACTGATCTATGACTATAATTTCAATCAACAGAGATCAGCACTGGACTTTCGTCTATCTGAACCAAGTTGGTACACTGTTGGTACAGTAGTAGTTATTGGCGTACTTGTATCCATTTGGGCTTCACGAGGAATAAACAAATGATCTCCATATGAACATTTTACAATGGATAGTTTGAATATTCCAAATCTTGACTGTACATAAGAGTTTTTCAAAATTCCCTATTTGTCTGTAAATTAGGCTTTTATAATATGGCAATTGTTTTGTTTGATTTTGTTTTGTTTATAAAGAAAATTCTATTTCCACAGAATAAATAGATTATGTCTCTTTTGAATTCTAGTTTTCTATAAATTAGCCTCAATACTGTACAATTGTTCTTTTTTTATGTGGCAGGACAATGAGCTTTTGTAAGACTATTGTTCTTCAATCTATAGTGTTTTCTTCTTTTCTTTCACATAATTGAGGCTAGTGCATACCATTAGAGAAGTCAAAACTAGAGTAGTGTAATTTTCWGGGATTGATTTTTATTTTTTGACAAGGAGTTTTAACTCTGACTGGAACCATTTTTATTCACTTGCTYTGTTATTTTACAAATACAATAGCTACCTTTTCTATTGTTTTTACATGCACAGAAACTTTCGTTTTGTATAAGTAAAATGACAGTCCAAGTGAATACAATTAGTCTTTTCATTAAATGAGTGAAATATTATAACCTTACAATTTATTTAAGGTAGAAACAATATCTTGCAAACTACCTGAAAATTACTGATGATACTTAACATCAATAAAATGTTATTTAATAATGACTTACATCATTCTGTTCTAATGAAAAAGAAATACAAGATACAAAAAACCTCAACTTGTCGTTCAAATTTAGCTTCAGTGTTTCATGTTTCATGGTTTGTTGCGCAACAGGTTGCCAGCACTTAGCAAAGAAAAAAATTGAGAAACATTGAAGAATATTCTAAGCCAAGTTGAGGTTATTTGTATTTCGTTTTTTTTTTTTTCATATTTTTGTGCCAGTCACACACAGATCACACATGGCACAGACATCAATTACTCCACAGTACCATATCAACTGGTATTAATAATGGGCCCTGCAGCTGTTAATAATGGCAAGTACTTATCAATAGTTCAGACTCTAGAAGTGTTTTCTCAAAGAACCTGACAAATAATAAAATAATCAATGATAAGCATCAATGAATTGCCACAAATAGTACCCAAAGATTGCCATGGAAACACTTGTTACAGCTGATGACACCAAGTTCACTGTATGRTTATCCATGAGAGGAAATCCTGAAATATGTTTTGCAGTTGGTGTTGGCTTGTTGACAATACATTTCTTAACTGAACAATACCCAGAATACTGCACTGTTGCACCTAGAATTGAATCAATTACTGACCCAACAAACCCACCAGCACAACCAATAAGAATGATAGGCCATTGTGGAGGTGATTTGGGTATTTTTCCTTGATGATAGTATACAGAACCAAAAAGGACCAGTAGATACGACACTCCAACAAAGAGCCCTCCAMACACGCTAGCAACTAGACCAGTYACAGTCACTCCACCATTGGTTCCGATAGGCACTTTACGAAATGTAGTAATTAAACGGGGAATATTTAATGGGAATGCAGTACCAAATTCTGATGACCAAGTATCGCCACAGCTACATGATATAGCACCAAGTATTGCRACTGCTAGCAAAGAKGCATCAAAGTCTAATGCGTAGTCTATTGGGCGTTCACCRTAACCATTGTCCAGGAAGTAGATTAGTGAAAGTAGACATGCAATGCCACCATTGCATACCACTTGAATCCAGTTGCGCTGTCCYCCTAAYATTGCAGGTGTTTAAATTAGTRSCATACAAAGYTRAGCAGTGTGGGKAGGGGGAGGAGAAAACAGAAGGGAAGGGAGGYTTTACACAGGGTGCTTAACTTGGATTTAAAAACAATGTAGATTTATAGTATTATCTTCTGCAAAGAATACTTCATTTCCTCTTGCAGGGGATTAGAAAGTCAAACCATGATAACCTCTAAAACATTTACTCCGGAAATTTTTTTACATCCAAGACACAGCCAAAGATATGAGTTTATTGACTACCTTGTTTATAYTATTTTCGCCAGTTATATTAMAGAACGAAAGAGTCACATGATTGCGTGTATTTTTATCTATTTTGATGGTCAAAGGTCAAACAAATATCGTGACCACAAAAATTACTTAATTGTTAGGGAAGGGCTCGTAAAAGCATCTGATGATAATAGTCACTTCTTTTTGTCCATACAACTTTTGCATTGTAAAAGCAGTTCTTTCCCATTTTTTCAATACTTATTGATACTAAAAGGACACAGTTTAGTAAATTAATACTAATGATACTTATAAAATCGAAGATTTAGAGAATCTTGCTAGACTGAACTTTGAACTTCGATTTCAAGATCCAAAAGGTGAAATTGCATCAGACAATGACACATTCAAATAAWATCTCACGCTTCAAAAGCGATTAAATCATMTTTTCAGATCAATTTTTATACAAATCACTGATAATAAATCTGTATAAACGAAGCCAAAAAGAGGCATGTTTTTAATTGTTTCTTTTCCATTGTTTTGCATCATGAGCAACTTACAGATGAAACTCACCTTCTTTGAAGTCATCTTCGATTTCCCTCTTGATTTCAGATCGAAACTTTGTCAACTTAGATGAACTAAGGAAAAATACCAGAAGAGAGGCAAAGAAACAGAAATTTGTAATCGTTAGAATGAAGCCTACAACAAGAGCAGCCACTGCTCCTGAAATGTCTAACGATTTGTTCGCCAAGGCACGTCGTACGATAAGTAGGCTTGAGCTGAATGCAAAGCCAGTACGAATCAGGAAATATACATCCATTTCGGGCTATTAACTGTAGCCGCTACAAAACAGATATCAGTCTGCGCGTTAGCAAACAATGTCCTACTTGAAAAAAAGATTTATTCATTTCAGGGACTATATACCTTATCACTTTTACCGCCAAATGATAAACACCACAGGAAGCCCAGGAAAAACTAAAATCAAGGCATAATTTTTGCTTAAATTGATTGTACTGAATTGGCCATCATAACTATATCATCAATCCTAAGTCAATGCTTCATTTAAAGATTATTTCTGTGCAATATTTCTATGTCTTTCTTTGAATTTCAGATTCAAAKTGTGTGCGTGGGCTTCCTGTGGYTGTACTGYCTGTTGTCAGCGGTTTCAAWCAAAAGTCCGCCATTTTGTATTTGTTTTGAATTTATTTACAACAGTCGAAAACAAAGTTCATTRTTTTGAGTTTTTACTCAATCATTGCCAAGATTATTTCGTTGCAGTTCATATCATTTATGTCTTGAAGAAAAGGGTGAAGAATGGACGGCGATCAAGGTGACAGCGGCTCATTATCTGACGATTATCTCAACGATTCATWTGCAAGCGTTGGAAATTCAACTCGATCTCTTTTGTCACCGATCTTRAACGAAAAACTTTACATCAAGACATCCACTCCTGGAAAGGACAGACAGGAATTTGAAGATAACAAAGGTCAAGAGGAAGAAGAAGATGATTACACTCCAGAGAAGTCAAAAAATATGGTTTTGACAAGTATAAGTTTGGCTAAAAGAGGAGAGGACATTTCACTTTCTAGGACTGATAAAGGTAGTAGAATTGGATCCAGTTATTCAAGCTCTTTTAGCTCTAGCTATTTAGAGAGCTCAAAGCATAAAGACACCGATGAAGGAGGCAAACTATCCCCTTGGGAAAATTGGTTGATTAAAAAGACCAGTGAAAATCGTGAAAAAAGGAAAATGAGAAAAATAGAAGAAACTAAAAAGAAAATTGAATTGGAAGAAAAAGAGAGGGAAAAGGAATCAAAAAGACAAGATATAGAAGAGAAGTTAAGAGTATGGCTGCAACAGAAAGAGGAAACTGAGAAGATTAAACATAACGAAGAGAAAAGAGAGTTGAAAGAACAGCGAGAGTCTAAAATGAAAAAGCAAATAGAAATTGAAGAGAAATCCAAAAAAGTATTTAATCAATGGCTTGAAGAAAAGAAAGCTGCTGACCTYGAGGCAAAGAAGAAGAAAGAAAATGAAGAATTTGATAAGAAGCAAAAGGAWGTGGAAAAACGAATGAAAAGTGAAGAAGCATTTGAAAAATGGCTTCAAAATTGCAAAAAAGGTTCTAGAAGTAACAATCAGAGYTCTAATCACCRACAAGTTGGTTTRCAGGGMTGTTATGACTGGGCTTCTTACCCATGCCCTAGCTACATTAATCCAATGCCCTGGGTACCTCCTGTATCAAAACACAGAGGAAGAATAAGTAAAAACAAAGAACTACAACCAGTGTCACCTCCATTGCTGTTCAGAGACTATGAACAAAGGACAAAAAAGACCTCAAGAAAACATACTGTGAAGTGTACTCCACAAATTTAATACAGAATATATAATTCACTAGGGTCCAGTTTGTATGAGGGCTGGATAGCTCTATCAATAAACCATTACCCAATTAATGAAATCGATACAAAATAAGGTAATGGATAACTTTATCCACCCTTTGTAAAGTAGACACGAGTTTCCTGTTAATTAAGACTTCTTGCACTGTTATTTCAGAATGATATATGAAGTATTATTGTATYGTGTAAATATTCAATCTTATGTTTTCTTATATATAATAAAGAATTTAATTCAATATAAAGTGGTTAAGTTAGTGTAATGTTTTCTCTGTCGTACAATGTTTATTTTTGCATTTTGTGCTGATTTTGTATTGAAATAATCATCTTTATGTTAATTTTTAATTCAGAACCATCATCTGTGATCAATGTTTCTATTCTTTAGGAAATCTCTTATGGCTTACATAACACATACATAGTTTTCAATTGGAAGAATACATTGGTTTTCTTCAAATTTCCCATCATCTGTAGGGTCTGTCTGTACTTCTTTGTCRCACATAGTTTTGTTAAGGATTCTCATGCAAGATGTGACTGGCTTTTTGTTAGGCTCCTTGTTTTTACTCACAAAACAAGTACATTGCTTATCATTATCTAATGGCCAATGCCTTGGGCGTGGTCGCAGCCTGGGAACGTTGGCAAGATCATCTGATATGTCCTGAAGAACATTTCAACTSCTGTTAATATCTAGCATCATAATGTTGACTGGAAACTAGGGGAATAGTTGCACAGAAATCTCCAACTAACCTTCCAATCTGAAGCACCGTCAATTAGTCTCCAGACCCCTGTCTCTTCACTTGGTTTTTCAGGTGCTTTGGGAAGAATGTTCTTCCAGTTTTTCTCCCAGACTCCATCATCATAACAAGACTCACTTCTCAGTTGACTCCTGAAAAATCTCATCTCAGTGCTTGTTGTTTTTGTTTTTCATCTTTAATAATGATAATAATAATAATAATAATCTAAGCTTATAAAGCGCTTATAAAACTTTTTCTAAGCGCAAAAAAAAGATAAAAATTAAGGTAAAGAAAGTTACAATAGAGTTACAATTAAAAAAAAAAGTTACAATAGAGTTACAGATCTTTATCACTAGCCTCTCCTGCAACCATATTCAGTACAGGGTTCAGGGGAGACTACTTTACCAATGGTATATACCTGTAGTTATAGATCTTTTCTTCTGAATCATCGTTTGTCTTTTCCATTTTTCTTCGCAAATCCTCTTGTTCAAAAATGAAGCCGCAACTGTCCCATAGCCCATGGCGACTCATGTTTTTACGCGCGTGTCTTGGGCGCGCGTTCTCAGATTTCCGCGCGCAYAMTCAACGATATGAGCTTCAGATCCACAGGGAACCCAAGGTGACATTATTCTAAAGAGTTTGCRTCAATTTTCACAATTRATTATCTGCGTATTAAGGAGACGTATGGARATTATAAACCGTTTGCCTTTTACTGGACAATATCAAGTGCTTACTTGTGTATTAACCTGCAAAACCAAACCAGGTTTTGCATCTTCATTCGAAAGAGAGCCAAACATCTTAACTTTTAGAGTGARAGCGCTTATTCCTTTAGCATAAGCATTATTTAGTAATATTTTGTACTATTTAACTCTCGCGAATCAAGTGAGTCGGCTCTATAAGAAAGGACTTACAAATTTTTACAGAGAACATGCTCAGAGCCTAGCAACCGGCTTTTAGCCAGAAACGGAATACAAGATACGAATTCATACGAACCGTCTCAAAGTAAGTAAGTCATAGTGAGGTAAACTCTTAAAATGCAGACTCAGAGTACGGCAATTCATAAATGAATGAAAGAAAGTGACATTTTATTTACTATATATCTACTATTTACTATGATCAAGGCCCTTGATTATTGAGGATTGATCGTCATTGCACAAGAGATATAACAATTAACCTTTGCTTTCTTGGGTAAATATCTTATATCCTTTGTTTAAWGCTGGTAGTGGGAAGTTAATTAGAAAAATAAATTTTCCAATCAGATACAACACTGGATAATCACTGCCCGAAAAGTGAGCAGTAAAATGAGAAAAATATTTGACTGCGTAAAATTTTCCTTGTAGAAATATTAATCGTTTTTCGCTTTTCACTCGTATCAGTCTCAAAGTACTAAATCTAKAATACTACGTTTTAGATTCATTTTTAGTGTATTGAAAGATGGTGCCGAGAATCAAGGTGACGTCAYGCGTCAAGGTTCTGTTTGCTGTGCTAGTTGTTTCCTTCTCAGGTAAGGAAAAATGTAAAAAAAGCAGAAATTCAAAGCTTGTCATTTTGGGCTTCAGATACATGATGAAAGGAGAGAATTGTCCAATGAGTTCACTGTTAATTTCTTTTTCTTCAGGCTTACAAGAAATCGAGAGTCTTCAAATAAAATTGAAGCGTTCCGTATCCCAAACAGGTAAACATAGGTGTTCATTGTTGCTTATGTTGGCAACAGTCTTTATAGTGAAAACACCCTGTGATGGCAACAAATCTACCCATGAGACTCATCGTGACGCCTGTTTTGCACTGTAATCAAATGYTAGTTCGTTTGTTTTYGATTTTCAGATTTCGTTCCCAAATGTGATGACATTGATCCCTTTAAACGCATAAAATGTGGAAACCAACCCACTCGAGGTGGTTGTGAGGCATTGGGATGCTGTTTTAACAACCATGTGATGGGTGCAGAGACATGCTTTCATCTCAAGGGTAACTCTCACATCTGGTTGGTTTATTATCAGCTCGACTACGCCTYGTGTTTGATCTACTTCCCATTGTATTTTGATAAACTGATCAAACACTCGTTGCTCTAGCACGTGGGAAGCAAAGCAATAGAGTTTTGTTGCGCTTCTGGGAACTAGAACCATTGTTTTGTCCTCCAGTTAGAGCTCTATTCCCATGAACTGTAATGGATATTAATGAATCATCGATAATGATTTGTTATTTACTGATGGCTGTGTTTCTATTGCCAGGGTCATGTTCAGCGGTTCAGCCTTGGAGTAGATTACAATGCGGTTCTCCTGAGATGACACGAGAGAATTGCGAAKCAGAGGGATGTTGCTATGACGACACCCTCATCAATACTCCATTTTGCTATCGTAAAATAAGATAAAAGAAAGAGTAAAATATTCATCAACTGTATCGTGTGTTATCTTCTTCTAACCTACGTACCGCGTCAATACGCACGTAATCAATCTGCGCAAAAGACGCCGCCACGCAGTCCAATGCATGCTTAGCCATTTTTATACACTTATCCCTCGAATAATTGCGAATAGTTATCAGGATTGATCAASCTTGGATGATGAGTTTCACCGGTGATCCGAATAAAATATAAATACAAATGCCATGTTTTAAATACCAGTAAATTAGCAAAAGTTTTAGACATCACGTGATTAACAATGACGTGTTGCCTCCAGCTTTTACATTCTACTCAAGCTAGGAGTACAATTATAATAATATACTATAATCAAGAATTTCACTAATCCCGTGGAATTGTGATGAAACCCACTCCATGAATTCTACTTCATCTTGATCATTGTTGACTATTGTCAATCTTACATCATGTTACATGCTGAATTAGTATAAAAGTACTCATATCGATCGTTCAGCAGACGATGAATTATTCATCTGCGTCAGGGCGATTACTGCCCTAGGGTATGTCTATATCTCAGTTTTTAACGTTTGTTTTGCTGTTTTAACTACTAGTATACTAGTTTATCTCTAGTGCAGCAGATAAGAGATTTAATACCCCCATCTATTCGTTCAACTAATAAAACAGTTGTGTAATCCATCCAATAGCCCTATATCCACAGCGAGGAGCGGTGCTCAAAGGCATTTTAATGGATTTTAAAATGACCGCTATAATTGTTTTCATAAGGGCAGTTCTAGATGGCTTCAGATGGAATATTATTCGATTTTTATTAAAATGCATCCTTGAGAGATCAGAAAAAAGAGTTTTGAAGTACTAAATGGACCGGCATTTTAATGTCTTTTAGAGTGAGCACTACAATGGCTTTCCGATGACACGTAATTGAAATGGCTACAGATGTATTCAAGTAGTGATCTTACATTTTACAAAGTCACTAAAAATCAGCTGAAATCGGCCTTCCACCGSTTCCTCATTCAATTTGTACATTGACTCACACATTAAAATCCTTATATAACTAACCGCCATTGTCTTCAGAAAAGAAAAGGTTTAAAATACACACAATTGTAATGTATTGAACATTGTTTTTCACTTAAAARACCCTTTGTTCTCTCTGATACCCAAGCTGTTTTACAGAAGAAAAAGACAACGCCAAACCTTATAAATGTCGTACATTGGCTTAAAAAAAAACATCAAACTTTGGAGTTTTACTGACACTATCACTAGAGGTCCCATATTGACACTTTAATGGTTTGCTATAGTCTTTTTAATAGCAACATTTCAATGGCTTCCTCTAAAAGGAACCAAATATAAAATAAGGGAAGAGTCCTTTTAAATTTATTAAAATATTTCAGAAATAAAATATTCCTAAATACGCCTACTAGAAGTTTTCACTGATCCATGAACTCAGTATGCAAACACTTCATCTTTGATTGTTGCTTAAAACAGACAATGTACAGCTGGGAAAAAACATATGTTTGGTGTCAGTGCTGCTAGACGACTTTTTGACGTGGTATTGATGAGTCGATTCACACGGTAGAAGGAAATATATACGTGATGAAAGACAGAGGTCACTAGCCTCTTGGTACGTCACTATATCCATGTCAATCAAACCCACAGTACAAACAAACGTTAATTATGCGGAATTTAAAAGCTGAAATGAACATGATCAAAGGGTTGTTTAGCAAGCGCAAGTAATWGAACAAGWGATCAAGACAGACACTAAAACCACGACGATGAAAGCTTCGAAAGGAAGTGACCTGAAAATAAGATGATATTTGGTGCTCTAGACCCAAGAATCTTGAACCAAAGGGAACATGGTGAGTACGGGAATTGGCCCCTAAACTAATTTTCCTTGTTTACACAGGAAAAACTCTTAAAAAATCGAAATTAKATGACTTCGTGTTTTATCAATGACCTAAAAAATTCACATTTTCAMAATGTCTGTAACCAGTTTTGAGAACTTTGAGTTCGCGCTGATGTTCGTTAAATAACCGTCAACGTAACGAGACGTTTTCGCGCTCTAAGTATCTGATGAGATTAATCCTTGAATCTTGAAGTTATTTTCAACAGAAAGCCACGAGATGTCACTAAAGTACAATAAAGTTACAATGTAATGAAAAAATCTTTATGTGACTGGACGTGCCCTGTTTATATTAACCAGTACTTATATATTTCATTTTTACCACATATATCAAGTCTGAAATTAACCAGTCCATATTATTTCTATACCATGTCCATTTACAAGTGTTCTAAGTATTATCAGGTTGATTCAGTAGCAGGGTGATATTTTTAAGATAATTTTGAGATTAATAAGTTATTCAAAACCGCAGTTCAATTTCGTTTTGCCCTTTTGTCTTATGTTCCGCGTTGGTGACCATGTCTTATTAAAACCTATAAATTTCTCGATGGATGACTTTGGATTTGTCTCTAAAAACTCCGGCCTAACTTACTTATTTATCTATATTGATATTTTAGTAATATCATAACTGTATAATTTATAATTTATAATGTACAGCAAATGTTATGAATATTATTGTTCATGCTGGGGTATAAATAGCGATAAAAAATCTTGTAAATTATTAATGTACTGCGGTTTTTGTCATGTTTAACAATATGTCATTTGACTTTACAAAGTACTTGGTAAAGACAAGTACTATAGTACATCATACTGTACATATATAGTACTTTCGGCACGTCTGGGTGTGCATGTATATATGAAATATTAATATATGGATAATAAGTGTTTTCATACAAACTTGAGCAATTTTCTT